GAGCCCAGGCCCAGTTAATGCCACTTTTACGAGCCCAGGCCCAGTTAATGCCACTTTTACGAGCCCAGGCCCAGTTAATGCCACTTTTACGAGCCCAGGCCCAGTTGATACCACTTTTACGAGCCCAGGCCCTATAATAATTCTTATATCAAATTATTTATTTACCTAATTCTAATTTAAAATAGATTATGAAAATAAAAAATATAATGTTTTCTTGGAAAAGGGGGATGTAATTTCTGGTAGATAAAGATGCGTAGATTCCAACAAATCCAGAGAGAGAGAGAGCTTAGCCTATTCCTGAACTGAACTCTAAGTTCTACACCTTCGATCATGCCCGTCTTTAAAACCCCCTTCAATGGCTACTCTGTCAAGTTCAGCCCCTTTTACGAGTCCCGTATCGCCGTCGCCACCGCCCAAAATTTTGGAATCCTAGGCAATGGTCGCCTTCACGTCCTCGATCTCAATCCCGCTGGCCCCATCTCCGAGCACATCGCCTTTGACACCGCCGACGGAGTCTACGACGTCTCTTGGTCCGAATCTCACGACTCCCTTCTTGTCGCCGCTGTTGCCGATGGCTCTGTCAAGCTCTATGACCTCGCTCTTCCTCCCACATCTAATCCCATTCGATCCTTCCACGAACATACTCGTGAGGTTCACTCTGCTGACTACAACCCTGTTCGTCGCGACTCCTTTTTGACTTCCTCTTGGGACGATACCAGCAAGCTCTGGACCCTTGACCGTCCCACCAGCGTCCGAACCTTCAAAGAGCATGCCTATTGCGTCTATTCTTCGGTATGGAACCCTCGCCACGGCGATGTGTTCGCTTCAGCCTCTGGCGATTGCACCGTACGCATCTGGGATGTGCGTGAACCAGCCTCCACCATGATAATTCCAGCTCATGATTTCGAAGTTCTATCTTGCGATTGGAATAAGTACGACGATTGTTGTATTGCTACGGCTTCGGTCGATAAATCGATTAGGGTATGGGATGTGAGGAGCTACAGGACCCCGGTTTCTGTTTTGAATGGCCATGGATATGCAGTTAGGAAAGTGAAATTCTCCCCCCATCGGCAGGGTTTGCTAGCGTCCTGCTCGTACGATATGACTGTGTGTTTGTGGGATTACATGATGGAGGATGCTCTTGTTGGGAGATATGATCATCACACTGAATTCGCCGTCGGAATCGATATGAGCGTGCTTGTTGAGGGGCTTCTTGCTAGCACTGGATGGGACGAACATGTTTTTGTATGGCAGCATGGGACTGATCCAAGAGCCCCCTGAGAAAGGAAAGATTTTGCTACTTCTGAAGAATTTATGAATTTTATCGTAGTTCATAGATTTTAAGTGAATAAGTCATTTTAGTGTTACAAAAAATGAAAATGCACTACTTGTTGGCAGAATGTATGTTCGTTCAAGATTGAACCGAATGTATTATTATAGTCATTTTCTTTTTTAGAGATTGAATATAAGCTTCTTTTTCTCTGGAACTTGTATTCCTTGGACCTAGTCTTTTACGCCATCTCTGACATTGTGAAGTGATTAGTAACGAGAGTATATTCCATAGTTTTTAAGTCCTATTATCTACCTGCTAGAGTAGTAAGTGAACTTTGCCTTTTCATGAGGCTCCTCTTTTGTGGCCATCTTATTTGCTGTAGGGTCGTTGCCCTGTAAAGATTATATTGACTGTACTCCTAGGCTGCTTGGTTTCCATGCTTGTGTGAACATGAGGTAGACAACCTACATGGATGCCAACTTGAAATTTCTGGTGTGATCATTGGGTACATCATTTCAGCTGGAGGAGGGATCAGAACAAGAAAGTTAGAATAGGAGCTTAGCGGTAATCGGGCTATTCTAGAACAAGATAGGCAATTCACTGGTTACTGGTTTTAAAATCACCAACTAGACCAGCTGTTTTAGATACGTCCCATGTTTATCTACCTACGCCAGTGTATCCATGTGTGTCATATAATTTCGATCATTAGATACGTCCCATTTGGCATTTCCTAATCCATGGAAACCAGATTTGTGAACTGTAGATGCATGATGTTTCCTATTGTATCTGTGAGCATGACTCAGTTAGTTAAGACATATTGTCGAACTCTCAAAAATTGTGCAACCACACCTTGCTTGTTTGAGTCCAGAATGGTATTCATCTTGGTTCTTAGATAGTGTCTGGACCATGTCACTGTAACTATACTGCATACACTTGCATATGCGTATGAATATCATCTTTAGATCAAATCATCCTACTGAAACTCCCTTCTGTATTAGTATCACTTGAGGAACTTGATGCATTTTGACACTTGTGCCTAAAAAGATACTTGGGATAAAAAATTTCATTCAATGGTCTAACCTTCTGGTCTGTTTTGTGTACTTTGATTGACTGTTGTTTCTGGTTACATCAAGTCTTGTTAAGTGGACTGCAGGCAGACTTTTGTGATTGGAGGAAACCGCTATCCGGTAAAGATGTGTAAAATTTTAGAAGTTGTAACTGCGAAATGTTTCTTGCAGAAAGGAATGGTTCATGGCATGCAGGATACTGGGAAGAGCTCTGCAGAAATTTGTTGGGAACCTCAATCTTGTTACACAGCAGGCTTGCCACTGCATGTCTCATGCTGGCTCATGAACGCCCTTGCTTCACTCGCAGTTCCTTCAGTTGTTAACTGGAAGAGCACTAAGCCATTAGTCATTACCCCTAGTGCTTTTCCCTGCCTCTCATCTTGTCTATCTCGATTCTCTGTCGTCAAGATAAGCTCGGCCTATGGTTCTAATTCTAGTAGAACTTGAAAATCTTGTTCCAAAGGTGTACTGAGATCTGATTAAATCATCAATCTTTTGATTCAATACATTCTTCTTTTCCTATTTTTTTAATTTCATGCCTAGTTTCTTAAAATGTCAATTTTGAAAGAAGCGAGGGGGCCTACATATGTGCCATATATTTTGTCCCTAGAGGCCATCACACTTTAGCTACACTATAAACAAGTTACAAATCATTACAAATCTATGATTTTGATTCTCTATAAAGGACTAGAAATGCCTTACTTACTTATCATTGGGAAGTGCATTAACATAAATACAGTAAGAAGAGGTAATACAAAAGTGTGTAAACTATAAAATCGAGTCAAGTCTATATCTAAAAGATATTGTCCTCCTTGTGTTTTTACTTTCGAGCTTTCTCTCAAAGTTTTTAAAACACGTCTATTAGGAAGAGGTTTCCACACTCTTATAATAAAATGTTTCGTTCCCTCTCTCCAACCGATGTGAGATCTCATAATCTACCCTTTTTAGAGTTAGCATCCTTGCAATTAAGTGCTATAATAGAGTTATTATAATCAGCAAAACAAGTTAGATCGAGAGGACCAAGAGGCTGCCAGAATGCAAAATCTTCCTTTAACATGGATTTTAATGGCCCTTCGATTCTATTAGGAGGAGGTTTCTTTTCGATTGCAAATGAGTTATCTAATATTACTGTGACAGAAAGATTCAAAACTGCAAATGCCATGCCACTGGCACTGGATTCTCTTCTTGAGCTGTGATGTTAGCATCTAGAGGGCTCTTGTATGTCCTCATTCTTGTTCATGCAGCGTTTTCCATGTATCTCAACACTAGGGGAAAAAACAATAAAAGCAGACAAAGAGACAAATGCATAAAGAGAAAGCGAATGGGCATGGCATTGTCGCAGGTAATCTACTGATGGGGGAAACTCAATGGATCCGATATTGATGAAGTTAAGCTCGTGGATGACGTAGGAGGTCTGCAGAATTATTAAAGTGAAGAATATGCAATGAGTTACATTATGAGTGTTGTTTGTCTGCCATACATGCAATGAATGCCAAAACTCAAAATGAATTCAAACCCAAACGGCTGCAAAAGTTCTTCCCTTTTTTTTCTCTGTCCCTCTAACTATTATTGGGTACAATTATCATGGCCAGCTGATTTTGCAATAGGAGACCAGATTATTATTATCATCATCATCTTCTCTGCAACTCAACCAACAACTTCACTTCACTTCTCTATCCTTTTGGCTTTGTGTATAATATGTATATATGACATCACACAGGTAGCATTCAAGAAAGGGAAAGTTCAGTGGTGATTTCTTTATTACTATTACTCTTTGTGTAGCTCAATCCCAGCTGCAACTCTGGCTCCCATTCCTCTCTCCTCTTCTTCATCGCCTCAACACTCCCTTCTTCCCAATAATTCCCTCTCAACTCTCTTATCTTTCCATGACTTGCCGTTGGATCATTCATTCTTCTCATCTTCCACGCCCTTTCTCCTAAGCTACTCCATCTACTCTTTTGCTCCAAAACTTGGCTACATCCAAATATCAAACGGATAAACAAGCAAGAGAAAGTACATTAAAAAAGTTCAAAAGTTTTGATACCTGTAAGGCCTGCCATGATAGGGTGCAAAAAGTGTTGTTCTAGCAGTTCCAAAGTGGGAATGGAGATGCCTTGTGAGTACTGGATGGCAGCAAGAATGGCGGGTTGGTTGTTGGAGCAATAAGCTCATGATGCCATTATTACTGCTATTGAAGTATCCTCCATGCATCACCCCATTGCATGCTTCTCCTATAACTATTACACACAAAAACAAAACTTTTGAAAAACCCTAAATCCATAAAGATATGAGCTTGTTTAATAAAACCCTAATCTGTACCTTGCCCAGTTTGGTCAAGCTTCTTACTTCGATACATCTGAAAAGGCAATGTGTGTGTGGCTAATTAGGGTTAGGGAAAGTGAAAACTCATAAAAAGCTTTGATTTTTACAGTACCTGTAAATGGCTCTTAACATGGGCAATGCTTAGTCCTTTCACATTCATCAGCTGAAGAACCAACTTGGGTGTTGCTCCTACAATTAACACAAAGATTTGAACTTTATAACTATTTTGGATTAAGAGACTAAATTTACACAAACCCTTTTGAAATTGTTGAAAGAAGAGACAGATTATTACTCTCTTGGCCACCAAGCCTTTCAACAGCATTCACAAAATTGAGATGAAGCTCAGGAGTCCAACGTAGACGAGGCACTTTTGATCTAACATACTGTCTCACTGTCGTCCTCCTTGCATTTTCTTCTCTTGATGAGTTATTAGCATTCTGAATTGAAGTGCTTCCATATTTTTTTCTCTCTTCATTTTGCTCAACTACTACATTAGTGTCATGATCACCATCTTCAACCCTTGCCTCTTCATTCAAATCAATCAATGAGCATTTTCTTGATGACAAGGGATCGAACTTCTCTTCGGCTCGGCTCGCTCGCCTTTCATCGGTCCCGTCCCACTTCTGTCGATCTCGAAAATTCAATAATAGGTTGCTGCAATACTGACAAGAAAAGGGTCTAAAAGGGTAAGATTTTAAGGAGAAAAGGATCATGATTCAGATCATCTACATAAACATATCAAGAACTGTTCACGTATAGAAATTAGGTTTCTTCCATTAAACCTAAAAGCATAAGGTAATAAACTTGATATCATTTTTTAGAATCTATTTACAAATAAAGCTATGAATATCATGAATTAAAAGAAAGATGAAATATATATACAAACCATGAATAGAAGATGATGAGGTTGAGCTTGGATAGCTCAAGTTTATCTTCCTCTTGAAGGTAATTGAAGAATGAATATCAACAAACTCGAAGTCCTCGATCTAAAAGGCTGATTCCCACTTCAAATAATCAACAAAGCTCCACTCCAGTTCATTGATTGGATCAAACTGATGCTTATATTGAGAAAGAGAGAGTTTTGATGATCTGTGAGTTGGGCTTGTTTTTAAAGCAGCAGGTATCATGATTTCATAAGCTATATATTCTTGGACTTTTATTCATGCAAAAACGTAAGAAGCTGACCTTTTTTTTTTTCTTTTCTTTTTGGATATCTCTCCCTCCCCACTTGTGGTTGTAATAATAATTCAATAATGCTAACCAATGGGATTTAATTTCCACAAAAACTGTTGGGAAATATTCATGTGACTGTCCCGCTCTCACCTTAATTGACTGAGTACCTCTGAGCTACAAAGTTGCTCAAATGAACAGAGTAGATTAGATATCCAAACAATCCATATACCCACCATTTTCAATGCATATTCCTACCCAAATTTGGACTTTTATTACTGCTATCCAAATAACCTCAACAATTGGAAAATGCAGAAAACACAAAAAACTCATGTTTTTACTCCATGTCTTCACAAACTTGTTTCTTCCTTACATGAACAAATGATTATCAAAAAGAAAACCATAAAAAACCCTTTTGTTGTTTGAACACGTATGTGTATAATAAATAAGGCAAGCTTATTTATGGCTTCGTGTGGGTGTGTGAAGGGCAACAATTAAAAAGTACCAACTCCCTTAGCAACAAAAACCTCATAAATTTCTAAAGAATAATTAAAGGTATGCTCTATATGTATAGCAACCCCACACGTATGTCTCCAACCTCCCTAATTCCATTAACAATTCTATGAAATTCTTGCGTTACCATCACACATTTACATGGATCTCATTCATTCTCATAACTCCCTTTGGTTTAGTCTTTCAAGAATCAAAATGGGTAGACTTTATTAAGACTATATTACAATGATTAAACATATTATAATGGAGACCCTTTTGGATATAACCGTGATTGAATGAGGTATTGTCCGATAAATTAGAAGCTCATAGAAGGGAGCATGGGTTGATTACCTACCCAATTGACTAATAATTATACTCACTTGTTTGTAGGGTAATAATTGGAGGGGGAAATAGAAGTAAATGGGTCCATAATTTAATTCTGGTGCAACTATTCTTTACATAATGCTGCAGAATAGCATTATTTATGCTAGTGTGTAGCACCATAATGCTATTTACATATGTATATCTGTAAGAGAATTGGTAGGGTGTGAGGTGAATTATTGGTAGCATGTGGGTTCTACTTTTTGCGTAAGAAAACACATTAATCGTTCATAATTTTAAACTCAAATCCAAAACCATATGGGATCCTTATGATGAGGATGTGTTATTTAATATAACATGTGATTTGTTTGGTTAGAAGTTAGCCAAAGATTTATTGGTTCCAAGTGTGGAGGCCTTTACTAAGAATTAGCATGGCTAAGGTTAGCTGAATAATTGCCATTAGGATACTAATCTCAAACTTTCTATTCTTCTACTTGGTTCAAGGATAATAATGTTTAGAGGTTATTATTTTTTTCTTAGATCATTCACACCATTAATTATGTCTTTGAAATGACTAGTTTTTTAAGTTCATACTGGTTGGGGAAGAGAACAAAACACCCTTTTGTTATACATGTTTTGAAGCGGAAGCTCGAAAAAAGGGAAAGCTCAAAGAGGACAATATCTGCTAGCGGTGGATTTAGGTCGTTACATTTCCACACCCATATAAAGAACCGACCTGGGATCTCACAATCCACCTCCCTCTCCTTCGAGGCCTAACATTCTCACTAGCACTCGTTCCCTTCTCCAACCGATATGAAATCTCACAGTCCACCCTCTTTAGAGCCAGCGTCCTCGTTGACACACTACCTGGTTCTAATGGCATTTATAACAGCCCAAACCCATCGCTAGCAAATATTGACATCTTTGGGTTTTCCCTTTTAGGCTTGCACTCAAGATTTTTTAAATTGGTGTGTTAGGAAGAGGTTGTCTCACGGTTATAAAGACGCATTTTAAAACCTTGAACGGACACCTGGAATAGAAAACCGAAAGAGGGCCATGTTCAAAATTTGGATTTAAACGAATCTATGCCATAATTGTAAAGATATAGTTTTGTTTCCTGTTGATACAGATAGAGCTGCTCCTTCTTCTTGTTCGTGGAGAGTAAAGAAGGCATATCATAATTGATGGAAGCTACAATTCAGCAGCTAGCTAGCCTAAGTCTTCCAATTTTTATTATGTGTTAGGGTGAGTACAATTTTCAATTTAATCACATTTAATGATTGATATAAAAGTCAAATCCAGCGTTAGAATATTTTATGACTCCATTTTTGATAAATTATTCAACATAAGGATCACCATTTTCACAACCAAGTACCTTTCAGTCTCTTTCTTTCTTACAATTATACAAATGATAGTAACGTTCTATCAATTACGTTGAAGAATTTCTCTTCATTATTCCTGCCCATCCAGGGTTTTTTCCCTACCTTCTCTTAGTATTAACAAGCTAAGGTGTTCGAAACACATTTAAAACCACTCCTTTTTAATACCTCTCACTTTCGTAAGCTCATTCTCGACACAATTTTCAAATATGGATCATATCAAGCTTCAATGATTCTACACACACTTTAAACTCAGTTTACACGTGAATCAATCGAATAAAAGTCAGAAGGTATGAAGGGAGGTTGAAGGTAAATCATGAAAATTGTTGGGTTCATGACTACATTAAAAACACAAAATGTGGGTTGGTGCATGGTCTTCATTGAAGTAGGGAAAGTAATAATAATATTATATAATTGAGATTTAGAGATATGCACGTAAGCGGTGATGGCCTGACCAGTGAGTCGGCCCATTAGGAGGACAAGTGGTGGGGAGTGGAACAGAAGTACTGGGCCTCCCTCACGACAAATCTATACCTTAAGAACATACAATCCAATCTAACAGTCTAATTTTAGTATTGCTATCATGATATAGCAACTGTTGCTATCTAAATTTTGACCGTATAAATTTCTATCGATAAAACATATGAATGACATCATTTATATAAAATTAATTCTGATGTTTGTGTTCTTTTTTAAAAAATATTTTATCATGTGACGAAGATAATTTACCAAATTTACTACATTTCAAGAAGTAATATTTAAAAACATATAAAACATTTTTTTTCTTACAGAACAGTAATTATCATTCATTAGATAAGGAAACAAATTTCCAAATCCTATTTTGAATTAATCATTAGAAAAAAAGGTAAGAGAGTCCCAAAGCATAAGAGAAACAACAAAGCAAACCATAAAATTTAGTAAATTTCCCTAATAACTAAGAGATACAACTAAGTGGCGATGTAAAAGAGACATGTATTTTTGTGTGCGTGGGCATAGTAATGTAATCGGCAGATATGAGAACTAAGCGGTGGTTTGATTTGGGCATAGACCCATTCTGCCGTGCCTTCGATCGCTTCCTTTTCCCCACTCCCGCACACATACATGAAGTTTCTTGCTGAAGGCTAACAGCGTCACCGTCTGCAACGGTCTCAGAATCTCGGTCAGCTCAATCAGCGTACGAATCCTGAGTTTGTCAGCTTCCTCCAAGATTCTGAGCATCTCCCCGTCCTGCTTTTCCAGAGCCCTCCCCAGCTCCTCGCTTACCTCCTGCTCTCTCACTGATTTCATCGCTATCCCCACCACCGTCTGGTCCGCTATCTCCTCCTGCAGTCTCGCCAGCTCCGACGTCAGCCTCTCCTCTTCCTTGATCGTTCTCTTCTGCAGATTCTCCAGCTGCTCCATTTGCTTGGGCGATAAATCTCCCAATTCATCCACCGATTTCATTCGCTGCCGGAACTGGAGGAGTCGCGTTTCGAGATCGAGGCTTGTGAGGGAGTAGGCGAGGCGGATGAAGAGGGAGGGGCGACAACCCGCGATCCATAGGAGAGAGGTTTCTCTGGCGGTGCACCAGACAGGGGCGAAGTATGCGGACACGTCTTTTTTGGCTAGGTGGGTTCGTCGATCAATGTAGTCTTGGAACCGCTCGATGTTCTTGTCGATGAGGTTGATGAGTTGGCGTTCGGTTTCTTGTGGGTCCGAATTTACTCTGCTCTGGACGGCGTCGAGGGCTTCGAAAAGCTCCCTCTGGCTCTCCTCTTGGAGTTTCATCCAGACCTGGAAACAGCGGTTGGATTCAGCGTGGTCGCTGCTGCTCCCACTTTCCGCCATATCTTACGAACCTAAAGCACTCTGTTTCATTTATTTATACATCTTAGTGAAACACGAAAAAGCATGGCATGTGTTGGAGAGCAGGAGACGAGCCCTCAAATCCTCCCGTCTTTATATTGGTAATAATTAAATTATAAATTTATTTGGATACATATAAAACCCCGAAATTCCATGAAAGTTGGGACATCAAAACGGAGGATGAATAAAATTGTATATGGATAATAAATGAGGCAGCGGGCAGATGTTGCAGCAAAAAGACAACGTGTCGCTCTAGTGGGATCCTTAACACACAAGGAAAAAACTACATTGAGAATTCCGAAGTGTTCATATTGTGTTCCATTTCCCCACCTTCCCCCTCGAAAGTTCGACTGTCCCAACTCTGATTTCAGGAGGCTCGAAAAGGGAAAAGAAATAAAGACAAAACCTTTGATTTGGTGACGTTTAGCGATGTGAAGTAGGCGCATCGAAGTCGGAGATTGCTTTTCGGTCACCCTTCCTCCCTCAATAGGTTTGTGTTGTGACTCCTGAACGTGGACACAAATTCCACACGAATACATGCGTCTCACTTTTATGCATGTAACCATCTTTAACGATCTTTTAATTTGTTTGGATAAAATTACTCTTAAAATTTTGGGTGTCAATTTTGTCGGATAAATTCTAATTAAAATTCTGAGGAAATGGCTTGAAAGCATGTTTCACAAGAAGCGTTTAAATTTGGCAGATCATGTAGTTACCCACTAAATTTGGGTTCGCAAATATTTTAAAATTGATGTCTAATGGATTCTTAATATAACAAAATCAAAATTTAAATTAAGAAAACAGAATTAAAATGAAATGGGGAATTGGAAGACGAAAAAATGAGGGAAGGGTAATTAAATAAGGACGTTACAGATGCTATTCTACGAGCAAATTAAATTTCAGAAATTAATCATAATTAAGACCGGGGGTGCTCGTTTAAGAATAAACCATAAACCCACCACGGAAATAAAACATTATTGTAAATATTACATAAATAATAACCATCATGCTTACTTTAATCCTCGTCCTTTTTCGTTTTAATAATAGTTTTGGATTATTGTAAATATTATATGTAGCAGTGGAATGAATGGACCCAAAAGAAGCTCAGCTCACAATATTATATGGATATGGAGCCTAAATTTGGTAGCGAAGGAGAAAGTCTTTCCTAACTTCCTTCCATCAAGATGGTACCAAAAATTATGAATTGATATCAATTTGAAAGTGATTCTGGCATCATCCTAAAAACCATTCTTAATCAATCAATCACTACAAGATTACATGTATTGTATCACACATTGAAGACTGCATATGAACATCTCAAAATTACCCTTCTTTTTCTTTGTAATCTCCGCGACGAATCCAAATTTTCTCAACAGAGGCACAACCACACAGAAGAACAATGGAAATAAAAGAGAGAAACAAAAAAGAACAAAATGAACAAGTTATGTTATCATACATTAGATGAGATGGGGATGGGGTTGGGGATGGGGTTGGGGTTGGGGTGGGGTCTTTGTTGGTTATAGCAGAGGAGAACGATCAGTCAGAGAGAGTGAACAGAAAAGCGTACCCTTTTCTTCTTTAAATCAAAATCTCTTCATTCAGTATCTGATGGTATATGTGATGATGGAGCGGCAGCAGAGTCCTCCACCTCCACCTTCAAATTCAACAATGCCGGTTTCAATTCCTCGTTACAGAACTGTTCATACTCTGCCTTGTCTCCCCCTTTCCTCTTCACCTCCACCATCACTAATTTCTGCGTCAACTCGAATACCTCTGCTGCGATCGTCAATGGCCCTTTTACTCCTTCCCGCGACCCTTCTAAACTCACTCTGCAATCCTTCTTCCTCACCGTGAAACTCACCAATTTTGCAATCTCCTCCAATTTCGATATGATCTTCGACACCGGCGCACTGGACACAAATCTTGCCTCTTCCCCTCCGTCCTCAAACAACCCCGAAAGATCAAATCCAGGCGAGAACGAAATGATGTCAAATGCATTCAAACTCGCCGGTCTTGGGAGTGTACTAACCTTTCTTCTGGTCTCAATTATTTCGGAATCCGATTCGGATTGAGATTGATCCGAGGAGGAATCGATAATATCGACATCGTTTTGGTCATCCTCAATGCTGCAAACCTTATCATCTTCGATGTAGAATTTGATATGCTTGTAACCCTTTTTGAACCATCTATTCTCCGTGATTTCTGGAATTGTGAAACGGGTTTCGGGGTTTGTGTCCAAAAGACGAGATAGGAGTCGAATTAGCTCCGGGGAAAACCATCTCGGACAACGGAACTCACCCCTGTAAATCTTCTTATACATTGCCATAATATTTTGGTCGTGGAAGGGCAGATAGCCGGCCATCAGAACAAACAGAATAACCCCACAGGACCAAATATCTACCTTTGCGGCCTCGTACCCTTTCCGGGTCAAAACCTCCGGAGCAACATACGCCGGTGTACCACAAAAAGTATGAAACAACCCATCTTGTCGAATTTGGTCGGACACGGCACTAAGGCCAAAATCGGAGACCTTAAGATTCCCATTTTCATCCAGCAACAAATTCTCCGGTTTAAGGTCGCGATGAAACACACCGCGCGCATGGCAAAAGGCAACGGCGGAGATTAATTGCTGAAAGTACTTCCGAGCAACCTCTTCCTTCAATCGGCCCTTGGAGACCTTCTTGAAAAGCTCGCCGCCGCGTACATATTCCATAACGAAGTAGATCTTGGCCTTGGTGGCCATAACCTCAAAGAGTTGGACGATATTGGGGTGTCGAACGCGGCGGAGGATAGAGATCTCGCGTTTGATGTGGGCGATTAGACCACCCTTGAGGATCTTCTCCTTGTCGATAACTTTAATGGCGACACTTTGGTCGGTTTTAATGTTGCGGGCATGGTAGACCTTAGCGAAGGTGCCGTGACCAAGGAGCTTCCCGATCTCGTATCGGCCCAAAAGAAGAGCCGGCATGTCCTTCTTGGTAGTCTCGGTCTTCTTGTCGGTGTCCGGCCGGTCGGCCATAGATGGACACAAAATCGAGGAAATAAAGGAAAACGCAAGACTGATTTGGAGGCTAATCTAATGCGGTGGCATTAAAAAAGATGGCAGCTTTTTTGGGATGCTTTTTTTTTTTTTTTTTTTTTTTTTTTTTTTTTTTTTTTTTTTTTTTTTGCTGGATTTGGGTTTCGAGAGGAGGTTTGAGCGTGAAACGATAAAGTTGATGTTTTTTCTTCTGATTTTGGCGAGAGAGAGAAAGAGATTGTGATTGTGGGTATATACACCATTACATTATAACTTCGCTCCTCTGTTTCTCTGTTTCTCTGTTTCTCTCTCTAGCCCTCTCTTGTCTCACCCATTTTCTGAATATTCATCGCCACGTATCATAAATCTTATTTATTACTATTTATTTCTATATCAAAATGAAGCTTTGTCCCACAATTCACTATTTTAATTCATTTATTTACGAAAATTACCCATTTAAACTCAACAAATTCTCCCTATTTCCTTTTATGATATGCAAATTTGAAAATATAATTAATACGAATGCAATGAATCCTGAAGCAGTGGGGGAAGAATAATAGTTAATTTTAAAAGTAAGGTTAAAAGACAGAGACACGCGGCAGAGTTTGAGGAGAAACAGAGGGTACGAATGTAATTAACATACGGAAAACACAAGCGGCAGAGTTTTTGTGTGGCCAGTACACTTTTGAATTAGATGGCGCTGACGTGTCTTCATGGCCCACACGTCCCCACTTAAAATCCGTTGCAACTCGGTGCTCCTCACGTCCAACCTGGTGTCACAATACAGTCGGTAAGCGTGACCGTGACATTTGGCACCATACTTTTTCAAATGAGTATTAATTATTTTTTAAGTAAAGAAGAATTAGACCTATTTCCATTAATGTTTGAAAATGAAGTATTAAACCCATATTTAGCTAAATTGATAAAACTGTACTAAATAAACGAAACTCTTCAAATTTTAAAAGTAGTATATCCCACGGACGAGTTGAGTGGGTTCCGTTCTATGGAGGTCAAATAATGTTATAAAAAAAAAAAAAAAGTAAGAGATAACGTGGGGTCCGGCACCGAGTCAACATGATGGACGGTGGTGGTTCGTTGACACGCAAAGGTATTGATAAGAATGCTGTGAAACACGCAGTTCCAGATATTGGCGCCCCCAAACCTTTTGGATTGTTGCACGCCAAAGAGCGGTGACGCCGACGCGTGAGCCCTAAAGGTGGCAACCATTCGAAATTAGAAAATGATCTTCCAACGCATCCTGGGGCACCGCCACCACCACTACTACTACCTATTCCGTTTTGTCATTTATTTCCAAATTTTATAATAAATGGCTTCTAATTTAATTAAATACAATATCAAATTTTGCGTTCATAAATAAAGCTTAAGATTTAAGAGTACATTAAAGTTCCATTCCAACTGAGATAACCGCCCAACCACCTACCAACTTATTAATCCAATAAATTAATGAGATTATTGGTATATTCGACAATTTTAACGTTGCTTTCATCTTTAAAGTAATCTTTCTCAATAATATTTGAACTTTTGCTATTTATATACTTATGACTCAATTTAATTGGGACAGATGGGTTTTAGTTTGCCGAATTAATAATTAAATAATATTTTTTAAAATTACAAATTTGGTCAAATTGGGGCTTCATTGATTATGGGCCTCAACCCCAAAATCATGCGGCCCACACTTGGAAGGGGCCGTGGGCTGAAGAAGTCTGGCGGGCATGGGAATAGGCGAGTCCGCGACTGCCGCTGGCAGCGAGGCAGTCAAGGATGTTGACTGGGTCTTGAGATTTAGGATCAGAACGTATATATTGAGGATTTGACCGTAGCATTATACCCAGTGTTGGCATCAGCTTCACTGCCTGTGCCTTGGCAACTCCATTTTTGACCGCCACTGTTCCCAATAAACAAAAGTAAGATAAGCTGTGAAGTAACGGGGGAAAGGATAGGAAGTAAATTTGAGTAAAAAGGAGATTTAAAGATTGAGCGCGGCAGAGGGAGAGAGGGGTAGCATCATGATTAATATGGGGGCAAATGGGAGTGATCTGATGCTGCATGGTCAAAGCTTGGCCCTTGATATCCACGAAATCCCCTTTTCCTTCCACCTCCAATTCCATTAATCATCTTCCCACGCCTATAATTCTCAGATTTCCAGGCTACCAAAATGAATGATGTGTGGATAAAAGGTGTTAACATTTTTTGGGTTACCTTTTGCCAGTAGTAATAGAAATAGCAATAATTTGGGAGTCAAGTCAACCTGTTTTATTCTGCCTGCCCATTCAGGGTCATTTTTCTTGATTAAAAATTGACTTTCATACCTCCGTTGTTTGTTCTTTCTTTTTGCCTTTTCTGTTTTTACCCTTTTTTGCCCAACCACACCACTCCTCTCTCCACCGTACTAAATTACAGTATATGATTTTGAAATTAAACAAGTTGAAACAAAGTGCTTATTTCAATCAAAAAATAGACTAAATTGAGGGTATTGAAAATGTACTTGAAAATAAGAACATATTGCAACAAAATGATTTAAGGAAGAGGTAAGTGTAGACCAAGTGGTTGGTGGATGTAAGGGCGAGAGGAGGAAGGGCAATGGGTTGGCACAAAAAATGAAGGGAGCCCGAGAAGATTGGCGTGGATGATACTCCAATTCATTTGTATTAGCAAATGGATGGTTGGTTTTGATTGTTACATATTATTGTCAGTTTCACGAATTTAAAACATGTTTAGTAGACAGAGATTTTCACACACTTATAAGAAATGTTTTGTTGCATTTTACCCCAATTTAATAAAAAATGTATGAGACATAACATGCTATCGTATGAGATCTAATTTTGTAGGATCCACGAGTAGTGTCGTGTACTTGAAGGCCAAATTTACACATCAACCAATCTAATGTTTTAACTATATTAAAGTAAATGGTAATTAAAGTAAAACATGCAGTTGATTTTAGAATTTAATAAAGAAGACATAATATAATAAAAAGAATTGATAAGAAAAGATAATAATAAAAAAAGAAAATGGGGTAAATTGATATGTTTATTATGATGTCCGCTTAAAAAAGAGCAATAATTAGAGCGGAAGAAGAAACACAGCAGGTGGAGGAATTATTGGGAGTCGGGCAATATGTTGGGTGTGGGGGCATTTTAGTCACATAGACGTCGGCAGCCAGTCTTCGTGATTCAAAGGTTATTTCCGTCATTTTACCCGCGCCTTACAATTCTCTCTCCTCCACAGTGAAAAGGGAGAAGCACAGAAGAGAGAGAAAGAGAGAAAATACAGAGTGCTGGAATCACTTGGCCTTGTTTTCCTGTTACCTCTCTCTTTCTTCTCCATTCCATTACTGCAATCCCCTTCTTTTTAATCGCCAACTCAACGAGCCACAAGATTCCCTTTCCTTCCTCCTCTGATTCGGCCATGGCGGATGATAAGGTACCTGTTATCTTCTCTTGCTTTTGTCCTTTGATTTTCTTCTTCTTCCTGGATTTGAATGTTGGGTTTCTTAGATGAGGGGAAATGCGAAACGGAGAGGATGAGAGAGCGAGATTAGAGGGGGAATGTACATAGGAGGAACCAGGACGGTGTGTGTTGGGGGTTCTCTTCTTGCGTTTTGTTGGCAACCAGTACGGTGATCTCGTCCGGCATTATGAGAAAAGGATCGGAAAACACCTCCCTTATTCTTGTTAAACTCGATCTGAGATTTACATGATTTTGTTTCTGCATATTTTCTTGGCTGTTTTAGTTTTAATTTCTGTACTGCTTCTCAGAGTCTCTGCTTTTGTATAATTTTGAGCTCTCGATCTCTCTCTCCAGTACTCTAGATTTTATAATTTAATTAGCGTACTTATATATTAGAGTTCAGCTGAGCTTATGTATCCACGCTAGCGCTTGTCACCCGCTTGTTTGATTTTGATTCATGTTAGCTACTTGCATTGCATAGCTCAAGCCTATCTTCCGTTGCTTTTCGTACCCCCTCCCTTTTTTTTGGCACTTATAAGGGATCCATGTTTGTCGGTCGTTTCTTTCTTTCTTCTTTCCTTTTCATTTGTTTAAAAAGAATTATTTTGCGGTGGATGTTAGGGCTTCTTACTGATAGTTGTTTATAACTGTCTTAATCATGGTTTCCAAGATTTGTCTTTTTACGCGATCCCTCCACTCCGAACGACGAATTTTTCACTTCTACTTTTCCAATCGATTCTTTCCAGTCTCTAATGTTGTATATACTATGCAGGCAATGTCAGCCCCTGTCGTTGATGGAAATGATCCAGTTACTGGTCACATAATATCCACAACTATAGGAGGCAAGAATGGGGAGCCCAAACAGGTTCAAATTCACATCAATCCCTCTCCCCTTACCTTCTATTTTTCTCATGTTTATGCTTAAAATATAGAATCTTTCGGTTTTCATGTTTCTGCACGAACTTAATTGTGATACTTCACTTTTTCTTGGTTCTGTAGACCATAAGTTACATGGCAGAACGTGTTGTTGGGACTGGATCATTTGGTATTGTTTTCAAGGTATTCTACATGTTATCCCTCTTGAACTTTGATTCTTTTGACGTTGTATTGATCAAATAAGATAGGATGCAAATGCATAAACATTCTCTTTCTCAGGCCAAATGCTTGGAAACTGGTGAAAACGTGGCTATAAAGAAGGTTTTGCAGGACAGAAGATATAAGAACCGTGAGCTACAGTTAATGCGTGTGATGGATCATTCAAACGTCATTTCCTTAAAGCATTGTTTCTTTTCCACTACTACAAAAGACGAACTTTTTCTCAACTTGGTTATGGAATATGTCCCTGAAACCATGTTTCGGGTTTTGAAGCATTACAGCAATGCAAATCAAAGAATGCCAATTATCTATGTCAAATTATACATGTACCAGGTTTGAATAATGCTCCTTAACAATTTCATCTTTTTTTATCACTACACGGCTTTTCCCTCATGTCTAGTCTGTTTTTTTTCCAGGTTTTTAGGGGCCTGGCCTATATCCACACGGTTCATGGAGTTTGCCACCGAGATTTGAAGCCTCAAAATATTTTGGTACTGTTCCTTGATGATTTTACAGTGGCTACGGAAATGAGATGAATTTTATTTGAAA